CATTTCAAGGGATTCAACTTTAGTTTATATTGCTTCATTCGTTCAAATGAATATCTTAATTGTTCAAAATGGTCATCTTCTTTAAGGGATTTGACCACTATATCATCTACATACACTTCAACAAACTTGTCTATCATATCATGAAAGATCAAATTCATTGCCCTTTGATAAGTTGCTCTTGCATTTTTCAGGCCGAAAGGCATAACTACCCATTCAAAACATCCTAGAGATCCAGCGCATCTAAAGGCAGTTTTATGTATATCTTCCTCAGCTATGTAAATTTGATTGTATCCTGTATATCCATCCATGAAGGAATACATTACATGTCCGACAGTCGAGTCTACTAAAGAATCTACCGTGGGCATTGGATATTCATCTTTAGGTGTGGCTATGTTTAAATTCCTAAAGTCTATGCACACCCTTAGTTTACCATTCTTTTTTAATACTGGCACGACATTGGACAACCATTCAACATATCTGGCTGTTCTAATAAAGCCTGCTCTTAATAATTGCTCTATCTCTTCCTTAATTTCAGGAAGTACATTAGGAGCGAAACGTCTGAGAGGTTGCCTAAGAGGTTTAAAATTAGACTTGGTTGGTAATCTATGTTCCACCAAAACTCTATCTAAACTAGGCATATGTTCATATTCCCAAGCAAAACAATTTTTGTACTCCTTTAATAAAGCGATTAATTTATCACTAACCTCTTGATTGAGCATTTGACTAATGAATGTTGGGCGATCTTCTCCTTCGTTGCCAATATTTACTTTAATCAGGGGGTCTTGTACTTGAGCGTATCCAAGTTTGGCGATCCTCATCACTTCGTCGTCCAATTCCTTTGTAGGCACTTCTTCTTCTAAACAATCCACCTTGTTGACTTCTCGGCCAATACTTTGTTCTAATCCGAACACTACCAATTTCTCTCTCAATGCCTTCAAGGCTGCTACTTCTTTCGTCTTGTCTTCGCATTCTTTATTGAAAGCCATTAATTTGGCTTTGAAGGCCTGAATATCGGCCATTTGTCTTTGTTGCTTACAACTCATTTAAAACTTCTTGATTATTCTTTTGCCAACTCAAGTGTTTGGTCAATTTCATGGCTAGTCGCTTGAAAATAATTTTTTCGGCAGCACCTATTTCCACTTCCTGCTTGTCCCCCGTCGAGTCATCCTTTTGTGATAGGTCAACGTGCAGCATATCGCACTGAGCATCTGTCTCCTGAATTTTCTTTTTACTGTTTTCTAATGCTTCTTCTTCAGTTACCCAACCTGTGGGAAGAGGCATTATTCTTGGAGGTGATCCATACTTTTCAGAGCGAGGCACTCTCTTCTTCCTTTTGGGCGTTCCGTACAGCACGTAAAAATCGAAAGAACGCCCAGATAGTTCTCCCAATAAGTCTACTTCACGAACCCCCTCTCGATGTAGTTGCTTCAACATAGTGTTGTACGATACTCTTCTTCTTCTTCTTCTTTCTGCCTCTAGATCGATTTCCTCCTCGATATCTGTCATACCATCATCTTCTTCACCATTGTAGACCTCTCTAGAAGTTTGGTCTTCTTCATATTCCAGCATGCATGCTTCTTCTTCGTTATCCTCCCTTTCTTCTTCTCCTTTCTCTTTATTCTTAAATTCATTGGCTAGTAAATAGTTATTAGCCACGACTTCTTCTTCTCCATCATCTATAACCAACTTGAATTTTGACAACTTGTTTCTGAAACCAGACGTCACCATGTTCATTCCAAGTGACTGCGGAAAAGAATTTTAATCCACTGCCATCTTCCTCTTATCTTCGAACGTAATTCGTCATTTTTCAATAGCATCCTGTAACACATGACAAAAAACCAAACAATTGTTAGTCAAATGTGACCATGCATTATGTCACTTACAATATTTTTTACCCTTAATTTGTTCAGGGCTTGACAATTTATGCTTATCGCTCAACTTTATCTGCTTATCCTTATATAATTTATCAAATATAAGGTCAGCTTTGGTTACATCGAACGAGAACGTTCTAGCCTTTATGTTTTCATCTTTTATAGGCTCATCTTTGCCTGACGGTCTAGGATTAGCCATTATAGAATAAGTATATGTGTCTCCTTTAACTAATTCGGCCAAACACATTTTGGTTTGATCGTAATACTCATCGTTAATGGTATGAACATCAAATTTTAGGTCTCTATAATAAGTCCCTTTGCTAGAATTTTTCATTTGTTCTTCCTCTCTTATTAATCGTTCATACCTAATCACGTTCACGCTCAATTGGAAAAGATTAGGAAATTCCTTGTCTTGGAACTTCTTCTTCAAATCAAAGCTTAAACAACCTTGAGCGATTTTGACAAACTCTTTTTCGGGCAAAGGTACAAAACATTTACTTCTTGCTGTTTTGAACCTTTGAAGGACACCTTTTGCCCATTCATTTGGTATTTGACGTAGATTCTCCAAATTGGTCAAAGTAACTTCAGACTCAGTCTTATAAAACTGAGCGTGGAACAATTGCTCCAATTGTTGCCATGTTTGAACAGAATTTGCTGGCAAATTGATGAACCATGAGAATGCTACTCCTGTTAATGAACTAGGGAATAGCCTCATTTTATGGTAATCAATTACGTCACCACTTTGCAGTGTGAATCGCCCTATGTGTTCTAGAGTAGACACCTCTCCTAAACCGGTAAACAGTGAGAATTCTGGCACTTTATACCCTCTAGGCTACGGATATGCTTGGTCTACCCAATCAGGATATGATTTTGTGTAAGTCGGTCTAATGACAAGACATACTTCGAAAGCCATCTGGTTCTGTACGATTTTCATAATCTAATTCCTCAGCATGACGTTAGGGTCATATGGAATCCCTACAGGTTGGTTGACCGGTTGATTTGCTTGAGGCCTGATGTTTGGTCCTTGATTGGGAACAAAGTTACCATGATTTGGGCCATTGTTACCATTAGCCTGAACATTTATTCCCTTATTAATACGTGGGGTATTCTGCCCATTATTTAGGATATTATCTCTTACATTTAGGTTACCCCCCAAGTTAAATGTACCAATGCCACTATTCTGATTTGGTATTATACCACTCCCCTGGTTTGAAGTAATTTGGTATTGCACCACCCCCTGGTTTGAAGTAGAGGGATCAAAAGGTGGTTTTATCCCTTGATTTAAACTTAGGCTGGGGGATTATGTCCCACAATTGTCCTAATTTGAAAGTGGTTTTTAAGAGGCACAACTGGCTGATAAATTTGACCTACCAACTTATTCATTATTTCGTTCAAAGTATTCAGTTGTTTGACGATGTTGTCATAATGTGCATTCCCATTCTGGGTAAATCTTTCCATATTATGAATATTTCGTAGATTTACCTGTTCAACGACATCTTGTGTGAGTTCTCCGAGTAATGCACGCATGGTTCGAGGACTCAACTCTGTCATTGATTCGTAGCGACTGTGATTGCTCTGATCCTGTCCATCTGTTCATGGAGAGTTATGCTGCTCCTCATATCGCTCGATCACAGACTGGACTCCTCCTTGGCTTGCTGTTTCCTTATCGAATTTCTGAGGCATATTGTTTCACCCTTTGTATCTTCAACACCAAACACCAATGTCCCACTAGGCGTGCCAAATTATTTCGCGCGGACAGTCGCTAACAATTAAAAGGGATCAGACGATTGTGTAAGGGATAAATCTTTTGAGACAAAGTCCCAAAAATGAGTGTTTTATTGGTAATGACTTTACAATTGGAACTTAAACAGAAATGCCTCCAATGGGCGCAAGCACACGAGTACTGAAAAGAAATGTTTTAAGTCTAAACTAAGAAATTGAAATTACATATTCTCTGCTTGAGAGTGTTTGATTCAGGGTCCTTTGCTCTATGTCTTTTCTCCCTTTTATATTCCTTTGATGCTCTCTTTGTGATCAACTGCTTAGAAATCGCTTAATTGCTTTATAACTGTCCACTTTCTTCATGGTGGCCAACTTATTGTGGAATTGTCGTCTCTAACTGCTGCCATTACTCTTTGTCGTTCAACCGTCCTCAACTAAATATCCTTGAATCGTGGAACGTGATAAGATTACCCAATAACTGTTTCGATAATTGCACTTTTGAATAACCATAACATCTCATGTTTGCTAAGATCCTGGGCGATTCAAAAGTTTGGGCGAGAACAGGGTCATAACTCTAGGCGACTGCAAGGCACTTCATTCGCTCAGATCCTAGGCGTCTTGTAAGTTTGGGCGATTCTGTTATCGCGTTCGTGGGCTTCCACTGCATTCATTAATAACCCTATTTGGGCCTTTATCCTGAATTGCTCAGTTGGATTTCATTCTTTGGGCTATTTGAATCGGGCTGCACTTTTTGCATGTCAACAGTAGGTCTCTCTATAATTAAATGCATTCAAATTATTTCAATTTTTAATGTAGGAACATATTATAATAATATGGGGGGAAGCTAATTAAAATAAAGATAGAGAAAAATAATAAATATTTTTGTGAGTAGTAAAATTAAGTGTTAAATATAAGGAGTTTGTTAGAGTGTTTTAATATTTTCACTCTTTAAATTTATAGATACTCTCTAAATGATAGAATATGTTCTTTAAAAATAAAGAGTTTCTTAGAGATGCACTGATATTTAGTATGTTTCTTACTTTAACAAGAGTGAGGAATCGTTTGACAAAGTTTTCGATAAAAATTTAGTAAATTTATAAATATTGATAAAATATTTAGTTGAAAATTTAATAAATTGTGAATATCATTAAATGTGTAGTTAAAAAATAATTCTCAACTTTAACCTTAATTTTTTAGCAAGTTTTTAAATTATCGGAAAACAAATCTTGTAACACAATTTCTTGGAGTAATTTGTATTTTTTCTTTCGAAATTCTTATTAATGATAAGTGGCCATATGGATGTCGGTTACAAATTGGCGTATTTGATTTTGAACTTTTGGACTGTTTTGATCATAAAAATTTTCGCGTCCGTTACGTGTAGTGATTGCTATAAAACCCCCCCACCACTTGCCACTCTCAAAGCATTACACAGAGTCTCTTCGTTTGAGTAATTCGAATTTTCCAGTTTCTTGATTCATTGGTTTCCTTTTATCTTTATATATCCGGTTATCATTTCTTGTTGAATTTAGCAAATAATGGCTGAGGAAGTTCAGTACAATCATCAAAACATTGAGAAGAAGAGCGATGAGCCATGCGATCACGGCGTCTCCGCCCCCATCAAGGTCGATGAGTATGCGGCACCGCCGTCTGTGGAGGCCACCGACCGTGGGCTGTTTGATTTCATTGGGAAGAAAGAGGAAGAGAAGAAGTGTCAGCAGGAAGTGATCACCCCTCAGTTTGAAGAGAAAGTTCAGGTCTCTGAACCAGAGTGCAAGAAAGAGGAAAAGGAAGAAGAGAAAAAGCATGAAGGCCTGCTCCAAAAGCTCCACCGATCCAGCAGCTCTAGCTGCTCTGTAAGTTGCTCAAATTTTGTTCTTAATGCATATACATTCATTGCTCATATGTTTTATTGGGATGTTAGGATTTTTAATTCATTGATTTTTGTGCAGTCGAGTGATGAGGAGGACGTGAAAGGAGGGGAAGAGAAGAAGAAGAAAAAGAAGGGTTTGAAGGAGAAGATATCTGGTGATAAAAAGGAAGAAGAGAAAATTGAGAAGTACGAGAACACTTCTGTACCAGTAGAAAAATATGATGAAATACCAGTTCATGAAAAATCTGAGGAGAAGGAGGACTTCCTAGACAAGATCAAGGAGAAATTTCCCGGCGGCCAAAAGAAGGCGGAAGAGCTCGAGGTTCCTCCACCGCCACCTCCGGCTGCCGTTGAGTGCGCCACCCCTGACGGAGAGGTCAAGGAGAAGAAGGGTTTCTTGGATAAGATCAAAGAGAAGCTCCCTGGGTACCACTCCAAGACTGAAGAGGAAAAGGAGAAAGAAAAGGAAAAGGAGTCTGCATGCCATTAAGGAATAATCACAAATGATGTGGGGGTGTGTTTGAGTGGCGTGACGTCGTTTTGTTTGATTTACTTTCTATATATCAAAGTTTGTTTATTTGGGGTTGGGTTGTCTTATGGAAGTGATCATTGTGTCCATACTGAATCGTTCTGTGAGTTGCACAGTTTGATAGTGGATTGATTGCTTCCTTTAGTTTGTAATTTAATCGTCTTTGTGAGATCTTTATGCAAAATTGTTGGAATTTGCTTCTACCTTTCTTTTTCTATCCATAAAGATACTGGCGAAGTCAAAATTGCAAGAAAAATTTTCAAACACGGTTCAATCAGAATAGATAGGTTAATTTCTTTCTCTAGCATCGAGAGTTTCCTAATTCATATGACTCAACAATAATTACAAGTAAGATAGTCATATTTTCAGTGACGAACGGATAAGTAACACGTAAGAGCCCGCTGTTGGCCTTCACTTGCCTTCGCCACGAATGCTAGTCAATATCCATGACCATCAACGCCACTATAAACAAATAATGAACCAACATCTCTTTAGCTAATGTCTAATATTTTATTAAAATATATTATAATATAATTTTAGCTGCCTTTGCATGAAGATGATAATGGTATGATGTTCTTTATTTTCTTGTGAAAATAACGAAATCTTTTAATTTAATTTTAAAAAGCAGGTTTAGCATAATGAAAAACTATACTATGGTAATGGCTTCTTTTAGTCTTGTAGACATTTTATAGCTTCAGTGGATACGAAGATATGGGACACATAAGGGGCAGCTATCAATTGAATTGTGTTGATTTTAAAATTTTAACTGCAAGAGGCCTAAAGTGGACTCCCTTTTCAAGTGGTTCGAGAGAAGGGTCGTGAGTTTCGTTGCTACATATTTAATGAAATATAATACATTTAAATTTCATTTAAACATAAAAGAACGTGTTAAAGAAATATTTAAACAATCAATCATGCAACATTGACAGAAAAGTTGACATAACATCACATGACATTTTGTCATTGAGCCGTATAAAATACTATTAATTTTTTCATTCAATCATATTTTACCAGGACTTCATCTATGACCACATATGTCAATTCATACTCGTTGGCGTATGCTCTAAGGTAATTTGATAGATACGGTCACGATTGGAAATCTAGGGACCAGCTAGTACGCTGGGGCGGGGGAGGGGGGGTTAGTCCTCACCATATAATCAAGCAGACCGGGCTACCGGCTACATTTTGAGTCAATAGGCATTAATTTCTTTGTAGGCAACTTATTGAATAAATGGGAGTTATGTATAATTATTTTCCATTGACCAAGTGGTTGGTCCCTTTTACGTGTCCATATGGAGCAAGCATAGGTGCGGGCATGTCACGTCTCAATCGAGAGGTGAACACGATAAGAGTTCCTTAATAGAGGGGTCACTGGAAAAGACATATAATGCATGATTCTAGGTAGAGAAGGAGAAATAGGCCCGAGAATTTGTCGGATACCACTTGAGGGTTCTAATTAGCCGAAGCATCTTGAAGGTTCTAACAGCCAATTAATTTTAATCCTACCTGTAAAATTATACAATTAAAAGTAACAAGTCATTTTTTAATTATTTCTATATAGTTAATCAAATCATTCAATTATCCTAAGTTGAATTGTCGCAATTTGTAATAAGAAAATAGTAAATAACACTAAATATGTTGACGAAGAAACCCGACTGGATAAAAATTTCAAGACTAGGCTAGTTACCTTCACTATAGATAATATGAATTTACAATTACATGCTGCCTAGCTAATTTCACTAGACTTTTCGATTTACTTCTTGTAACCTCCAAGATCTGTCGAAAACACCAGATCCCGATTTCCAACAATTGTCTATTCCAAGTAGATCACCAGGAATTACCAACTCTTCTAATTTTCCTGCTCTTGTAGTCCAACCTCTCTCTCTTTTTTCAGCAGCATATAAAGTTCAACTAAGAAAGTACATTCTGAAGGGTGTTTAGGAACTAGGTGTTAGATTTAATGGATTCGTTGTTTTTTTCCCAATTTGTGTTGTATAATCTCAAGAGTAAGTGGAATGAATCAATACGTGAACAAGCTATTGAATCTTCAAAGAATGTTATGAATGTGTTATAAGGAAAAATGCACAATGAACAACACCACCAAACTTTGTGCTAGGTATTGGGTATTTATAGTTGAAGAAAATTAGTAGTTTGGACTATATAAAACTCAACAAAAAGGCGAAGTAAGGTTTTACGCATAACGTTGTCGTTCAAATGAGGAGCTAATGATTGGCGAGCGACGGTCTATCACTCGAGTGAGATACGGGCGACAGGCGAGCAACGGAGTTTCTATTTTTATCACTCGAGTAATGTCCAAGCAATAGGCTAGCAAAATTGCTGCAGTTCTTCTTTCATTATTTCGAACTCGAACCCTATTTTATCTAACTCAACTATACAATATTGCAACTAGTTCTTTGACTTTTTATAATATATTTATTTCATTAATTTTTTCACAGAATTGCCAATTATATAAAACCTAACAAGTCCCAAGATTGGCAAAAATCAATCCAATTAAGACTCGAAATAGTTGGTTTATGGACAATCAAATAATATGATGTAAGTGAGCCAAATAGAAAAACAAAGCTTACATGGGTCAAGAATTAGCTCGACAAAATAGGGTGAACTCATTTTGTTACCCGAGCAAGGTACTAACTTTGACACAAAAAATAAATCAGTCGGAAAAGATTGTAACTTCTTTAAAGGTTGAACCCCAACTTTAAGGGCCCCCACCGACCCTGCCCTGAGCCATCGTGGAGGAGGTAAATCGTAGGATGTGCCTCCTAGGAGTCAGGGTGGAAAGCACATGGATAGGCCAAGGCTGTTAACCCATATGGTAACTCCCGCTTGTAACAAAGTCAATTCCACCTTGCGGGGAATCGAACTCTGCACACTGCCGCGCTGAGCCCTATCCGCCCTCCCTTTTGCCACTGGAAGATATGCCCTGGGGGCAGATTGTGACTTCTTTAATTAGAAACACAGTTGCTAACCAGTTTTGTCAATTCCAGCTTCTCAAGATGTCTTCACACACAAGTCAATTGATGAAGGGCATGTGATGTGAATCTTAATAGAAATATAAATGGAATACTTTTTAATATATATTTTACGAAGTATATTTCATAAGTTTTCTAGAGTTTTATTAGTTATTTTCTACCTAAATTAGATTAGTTTAAACATCTATAATACGTTAAAATATCACATCAAGTGAGAATTCTTTTTTGGACGATTCTAGTCCTATTATAATTCAATTATTTCGATAATACCATGCGTTATGTTTTTCAATATATATTTAATTTATTTAACCATTTAGACAATATAATATGAATTAATTTAACATATTCATTTCACTTCTATGCTCTCATTCATGTACCAATTCACTATTATTAAATTTCAATTAATTAATATTCACTTTTTTTTCAATTATCTTTATTTATGCATGTCATTTTATTTTTTTTTTAAATTCTAAGTGAATTAGAATTTCGTCAAGAATTCAATTCATTATTTATGTCAATGTATGCTAATTAGCATTCAATTTCACTTAATTGAAAATAAAATTATACTCATTTAGTATAAATGATTTAACATTTATTGTCAAGTATATATATTCTCTAAAATCAATTCAAAATTAATTAATATTCACGAATCTTTAAATATTACTTTTACAATACTTATAAAATAATTTTAGAATAACGTATAATGCAAGTTCAATTTTGATTAGTATATACAAAGGGGTCTTTGCATTATAATACTCTTTGACACTGAATAAACTGATGTTTTCTCCCTTTAAATTCTCTTTATTCGCTCGCTCTCTTTTTATCTTTCTCCTATTTCTTTTTCAATCTTGTTCTTATTCGATTGGAGTTTATATCAGCTTGTTACTAATGCTATAACTAATGCTATATATTTAACTCATATGTAACTTAATTACTTATAAAAAGCAAAATCAGTTGACCCCAAAAAAAAGGCCAATAGAATCGCGACCACGTCCCTGCATGGACTCACCTCTTTTTGAAAATGAATGAAACTCACATATATATAGGAAATGGAAATAGGTCTCGTGAGCTAATAGATTAGACCAAGTTCCAAGCCCAATGGAAGGGCCCAATATGAGATAATTTTATAGGTATAACAATACCCCCAACTCTAAGTCGTATATTCATGTGCAGGTCGAACTTCGAAATATAAACTACCAAATAGGCGAAGTCTTACAAATTGCCTTAGAAATATAAGCAGTTCCAAGAAACAAGGACTTATGAACTGCCTCGAAAATATACATCGGTCCCAAATAAACGAGGACTTACGAATTGCCTCCAGAATATTAGCAACTCTAATAAGTGAGGTTTTATGAACTGCTTCCAGAATATTAGCAGCTCCAATAAGTGAAGACTTATGAGCTACCTTAGAAAATATTTGTACGAGCCTAGATAAGCGAAGGTTTACGAATTGCCTCGAAAGATGTATAATTTGTTGAAAATTCGGCAGCATCTCCTCTACAATATGGACTAAACCAACCTGTAATACAATACAATATATTCACTGCACATATACCAAATAAATTTGGGGTCCACTTGCCCCTCAAATTACTCATGATGATAAAGTGAATGACAACATATCAAATTTCTCCAAGATATAATATGAAGAGAGTCTGTCATACATCATAGTAGATCATATGCTCGCACAGTTCAGTGCATCAGTAGTGCTATAGTGAAGTAACATAATATCGATAATAAAATGAAAATAATCATACCGTCTGTAACCGAAATATAGTCATAACTTGCTAGCAAAATACATAATCAGCCACTCTAAAATAAGAATATAAATTTTCATAAAGATGAGTATAGCATATTTAAGTTGATCGTCAATCCCAATTAAATGGGGACAATTCCTAACCACAACAATATCTAACAGAAGCATCCCTTCATTTGTACGACAATATTACTCTAATAAACCTTTATACTTTTAATCAAAATCACCTCATCGACCTGTAAAATCATTTTATTAAAATAAAACATTCGCAAATAGAATAAAACTCCACGGCTTATGTCCAAATATTAACAAATGAAAGGTGGAAGTAAAAGCCATTACTTTTCTTTAAAACTCGATATAATTAACAGCTTCTGTTGGCAAGACAAAATAACTCAACCGTCGAAGCTGTCTAATGCCCACAATAATAGACAAAACCAACCTTTCAGTCACTGGCACCTAC